CCTTAACCAGCACATCTCTTAAAACTGGATGCAGCAATGTCGTATTAAAATATAAATTCGTCACATTACGGCTAACAGCACGCAGTCGGCACTCGGTAACGTTAAGCCATGATATGTTGGCATTCTCACAGACGAAATTTGTAAATCTAAATTGTGCAGCGTCCTGTTGTATAATATTACACACGGTTACATATAATGTGTTATATAGACTTCAGGACTCACCAAAAGGTTTTGCGTTAAAAATATTATCAGCAGTCCAACAAAAATCGTTCTACAGTCCATCGTGTTTCGACGTCATTTGACTGTCATTAGATGAAGCTCCTCAATAAAAAGCTTAAATGACAATTAATATTTTTATTTTGTATTTTGTATGGTCGACTAGACTGCTGATTCCGCTTAAAATATAGTATGAATTACAAATATAAACCATAATATAATGGAGTAATTAACTAAAATCGATCATTTGATCATTGTAAATAATAGCCCAATAATTCATTTCAGCAATCAGTAAAACGTGCCACTGGCAAATCTGATACTCTCACAAAGAAACCTCTAACGTGTTTAAGTACCTTAGCAAAGTAGTTTTAGTATAATATGTTAAAAATATGTATGTTGTATATATACAGTGCTTACAAACATTTTAATTGATTGCTTATTATTATAAGATCCTCTGTGAAAATAAAACACATATCCAAAGTTCCTGAGTTCAGATAATGAAGTATCACAATATATTTTGAATTTTCTGCATTTATGTGAGGTTGTACCGGTGCTATTAAATAATCACCAGAGTGCAAAAATAATAATAATTTTCAATATTATTTGCAAATCATTTATGCGTGTCAGAAAATTATTTGAATATAGATATCGATTGACCATATCGATAGTTATATGTTGTGAGTGGCATTTGGGGCTATTAAACGCCCTAATTTCATGTTTGTTTTTGTACCCTGAACCCATTAGGCGCGTGATTATACGTGCGTGTGTAGGCATGTGTACATAAAAGAAGTGCAGAATGAGTAGAATATCAGCTTAGAGGGTTCAGTGCATCTCCTAGTCAAGCAGTCTCGACTAGAGTTTTCTTACTTGTTTTATTTGGAAGTGGCAGTGTGTTGATCGCCAGAACGTCTGAGCACGGCTCGAGGGCAGTTGAGCTGCAATAGTCGAGATGAGCCCACATACTGGCAATTCACGAAGCTCCAGCGCCAAACACAAGATGCCGGCAAGTTCCGTTATAAAAGTGATTGCGTCAGTTGATGAATTAGCTATGAAGTTGAACGTATTACTGATGATATGTTCATATAGCAATCCTGTGATTTACTAATAGGGATTTACAAACAATCATCAGTTAAGAAACTGCATACTGCTAAAGAGCTCCTTTGGAGCCTAGCATACCATGGTACAAGCCTTAATATACATCGTTTGTAGTAGACCTCTTAATTTCAAAAGCAAATAAATAGGTTTCGATTTATCCAAAATACAAATAATAGATCGGATATTCTTAAATATTGAATAAATTTATAATTTAAATCATTTCTATTTTTTGTTTTAAGAGATTGCACTCAAGACAAACAATAATGCCTCTACAATTGTACTATCGCTAAAATGCCCTGAGTCGGTGCATTTGGGTTTATTGATTTATTAGATCCTCAACAAATGAGAAATATAAATCCACCACCAATGCTAATTTCTTTACTGAGTACCACTTGGATGCCACTAAGTATTCGCCAGTGGGGAATACTAGAGGAAGATTATCCGATTGAATACACAGATCCTTTATAAACATCGGCCCCTGAAAGATTTCAGCATGAGAGTTTTAATGAATCAAACATAAAATATAAATCGCTGGCACTCACCACGTAAGGGCACGTATGGTTGAAGTTGCTGTTGTCCTTCATGAGCTTAAATATTATAATTACTATCGGACTGTATGGCCTCTTTAGGAACTGGCAAGCATTGATTTTAGTCTTATATAGCCATGGCTTATATCCATTGGCCCTCTTGAATAGCTGAAACTCAACGGTCACATCATGCACCGGATAATGCAGAGTAGAAAAAAAATTATACACTGTTCGAGTCCGATTGATGGCCTTCAGTCGACACTCGTTGATGGTGAGCAATGTGGCATTCAAGGACTTACAAACCGCATTCGTAAATTTAAAGACCGATGCATCCTTAAATATGAAATAAGTTGCATTATGTGAAATCGTGTGCTTAGCTTCGACGTATACTCACACTGTGGCGTAGCACTATTGCCAGAAGTAAGAAAGTCATCAGCCTGGGCTCCATCGCACTGGCAGTCAAATTGATTTTAACCAGCTTCAAATGTATATGAAATCTCATTCGTACTCTTCGCTTGATCAATTTTCACTAATATTAAAAAAATTGCTTCTTGTTTTTGTTTTTGTTTTTGGTTTTTTTCTCATTACAAAGCTAATGATCCTGTTATGAATTTCAACAAATGACTAAATAGTGCGGCTCAAAATATAATAGTTTTAATTGGCATTACAAAACTTGCATATAATTAGCTAATTTAAAATATAAATATTTTTGTATATATAACTGACTTAACTTAATATTAAAATTAATGTTAAAAGTATTTAATTCTCTGAGGCACTTGTAAGCAAAAATCTAGCTTAATTTTAGAGCCAACCACTTAAAGTTTTTCGGATATGTACATAGTTAAACTTTAGGCCTGCCTACGTGGCTTGCCCATTGTTGCATGACCAAATTCAAAAATAGCAATTTTATAATTAACTTTGCTGTTTTTGGACCATAACCACACACGTGCTTCACCTGTATTTGAAAAGAAAAATCTATATGTGTATATAATTATTTATTTATTTATTTATAATGATAATTAGATGTCATTTGAAATTCGTTCATGTGTTCAGCATTTCATGAATAGTGTTTCGACTTACCAATAGAATTGTGAACGTTGTTTGTTGCTAATCCTAATCTTCGAATGTGATAGATCATGAACAGATCTTGACTGTGTCCTTTCCAACAACGGATGATTCAGGTTCGAATAATCTTTAAAGCTACCAGAGAATTTCAGGGTCTTTTTAAGAATTTACAGCCATCGAATTTGAGCTTATATAGTCAGGGCTTATAGCCGCTTATAGTCACCTTATTGAAGAACTGCGCCTCAAGCGCAGCATCGGTGATCGGATAAAGAAGTGTTGAATTGAAATTATATGTAGTTACATTACGACTCACAGCCCTCAGTCGGCACTCTGTGATTGCAATCGGGGTCTTATTGAAATGCTCACAAACCGCATTCGTGAACTTCATTATAGATGCATTCTACAAAACAGAAATGTTTTCCATCAATTATAGACTTGATTGAGTAATTCTGCTAATACGCTCACACTGGATCAAATGAATAAAAGTAATCACAATTTGATTTGCATTGTAATAGAGTCTAGTTGAAACTGAATATGAATTTCATATCGAGTGTTGTACACGCTGCCAAGATCATTTTTAGTATGGCAATTTATAGCTAACTGCTCATTATCTGTTATTTAATAGAGCAATTAAAGTAATTTCTTTCACTAACGTTTCTTGTCAATGATTGAACTGTTTCGCTTGGCTTCGATTGTTGCTTTAGCCATTTGATGTTATTAATGGCATCAGAAGCAAAACGCCACAATTAATATTAACAGCGAACACAAACTGTCAATACAGCTGTCGACCCGGACAGCCAGTTGACAATTGCAAATGAGGCAAACGAGGTGGGACTCTGGAGGGCGGAGTGGCGAGGCGGAGTGGAGGCGGGCATAAGCAAGCGAAGCCACTTGCTGCCTCGAAATAAACTCATTACAGCAATTTATGCAAAATGTTCAAACCGCAATTGAAAATCCATTTAAATGAAATGCCACCAAATGGCACACACACACACACACACACACACACAAACGCAAATACACCCACACACACGCAGAGAGGTCCTTTTTGGGCTGCAGAATGTGTGCAACCCCCAGCCAAATGCTGTGGTTGCTGTGTAGCTGGCGCCTGCCGCTTCCATTGAGGCATATGAATTCAATTATAAAACAGCGCCACCTTTGACGCGACGCCACAACAAAGCCATGGCAAGGGGTGGGGGCGTGGGGCGTGGGCGTGGTGCAAGGGGTTCGGCTGGCAGTGCCAGCTGTTGGTAAATAACATGCTCATGGCCATGGCTCTAATGAAACATTTCGGTTGTTTTTTTTTTTTTTTTCTTTTTTTTTTTGTCAGCCATTTGGGGGCGACAAAACTTGTTAATTTTATGCAGCGCACAGACAGCCCGGAGCTCGGTCAGGACATGGGCTGTCTGTGTGTCGCAGTTACACTTCCTGTGGCATTTGCATATTCCAATTTTATTTTTTCTGTTCGTTACTTTCCTTTTGGCCTAGCTAGCCTGCGCCTCGCAACTAGCACTAAAAAGCAAATGCCTAAAGGAAGTTTACATTTTGCAACCGCAGGTGGCTAACGATACGCGCCCCCAGCGTTCAAGCAACGCGCGGCTCTGCTCACCTGCCGCCGAATGGCGGAACAACATAAATAACACAAACAAAAGGCCAGGAGCCAGAGCYAGAGCCAAGAGTCGACTGGCCCACTTGACACCTCATAATAAAATTAAGTATACGCCACGCAAGCCGGTTCCACTATTACACGGCTTCGCTGCCTGACTCCTGCGCTGTCCGTTATTTATGCGCTCTCCAGGCGGTTTCCGGCTAACTGTATGCCTGTCCGCCTGTCTGCCCGTAGGAGACACAGGACGCGCTCAGCGTGCAGTCCTTCAGCTTTCGCTTGGCCTTTGAAGTTTATTTGCGTATTTCAAGTGCGACCGAGGCTCATTTCAATATTCAAGCGCGCTCAGTTGTTGGTTTATTGTTGTTGTTTTTATTGCCGCTGCCGCTACTGCTGCTGCTGCTGTTTAGTTATTGTCCTTTGTTGTTGGATGGCCTCGACAATTGTTTAACTAGTTGGTGTCAGTTATAATGAATTTTAAATTAAGTTGTTATTTTTGCCAGCATTAAACGCTGCTGCTGTTGTTCTTGTTCTTGTTGTTTTTGTAGCGAAAGCTGTTTGTTTGCATAATAAAGAGGATGACTAATGTTAATTAAACTGCAGCAGACAATGAGCGAGTGAGTTTGGGCCCTTTTAATTAAAAAGCGCAAGCAAAATTTCAGTGTGAAATTATGTAAGGCAATCGCAGTTAACTGCTGCTGCTCTATGCAATTCTCATGAATTCAAGTCTGTTTGCCAATCGAAATAAACTGCTGATCTTCTATGCAATTCTCATGAATTCAATTCGTTTATGTTCATTGTAAACCTATTTTATTGCGGAATGAAGCAGACTGAACGGCAATCAACGTTAACTTTTAACTGCTGCCTTTCTATGCAATTCTCATAAATTAGTCGGCAGGTCTTTAACTACGTCAGCTCATTGTTAGCATTACATTGTTTTTAACGGACCTAACACACACATCTTTAGACTATACTCAATTACATAAACTTAAATTCAAGCGAAATTAATGATATACAATCGATGTATAAGTCCTGCCCTTTTATGAGTTTATCATGCCTTTCTAAATCAATTTTATTACTCAATTTATTATATTTTATTAAAAATTTTAAGCTTATAAAACTGTTAGCTTGATTGATTGTATATTCAATTTATTGCAGCATACTTTTAGGCCGCACTGGAATTTGATAGTTCTCAATTTGGCTTTCAGCTATTTATAGCAAGCTTTGCAATTAAATAGAACATCTATAGCCCAGCTCACAGGCAACAAAACGAAACTAGATATTGCATGAGCTGCGCTTAAAACAACTAAGTGAAGCATTGCTAAGCATACAAAAGACTTAAAGCAAACAGAAATACGTCGCCCTCCCCACCCAGGCAACGCTACAAACTATTTGCACAGATGCCTCGCACTAGCTACACCTACAACTACAACTACAACAACAACAACAAATGCTATGACTACGACTATATCTACATGCCAACACTACAGACCGTAGTCCGGAGTACAAACAGCCAGATTAAATCCTTTCAAAATAACTACGCAAACGAATAGCATATGCAAATGCCCGGACTACAACGAGCTACAACAACTTTTTGCATTACTCAGATTGCCACGCCCCCGTGCCCCCGGTCTCCTGCTTCTCCTCCTTCTCCTTCTGCTGGTGCTGCCTGGCTTATGGCCCGAAAAGTTTTTGGCTTCCAGCTCATTTGTTGGTCACGCCACGCAACATGGTAAAATACGAATAGGATGCATTCAGCAGACTCTGAAACATGGCCAAAGTCATGGGGTAAACGTGGCCTGCCTTTATCTGAAAGGGAAAACCAGACTCCAAATGAAATGGAGCGCATGCACAAAAGCCTCGATTAGAATCTGCCAAATGAAATGCATGCGAGGCTCTCACTCACCACCAAAGGCCTTTGCGTTTGCATCAAAAAGATCAGAAGAGTTCTCCGAAAAGCCATTCCACACTCCAGCCACGGCACATTGTAAACAGCCTGAGAGACGCGCAAGCTCTGCAAAAGAGAAAAGCCGTTAATTGACTGAAGGTTCTTTTGTTTGTCAATCTCGGCTCAGCTAACCTCAATCATCAAATCGTTGGCACGATTGTAATAGGTGTAGAGCACATAGAGCATGGTCAAGATATACATGATTATTGAGATCATCTGAGTTTGCGATGTGATCTAGAAATGGATTAACGGCATATAATAAACTGGAATAGTGGAAATTTGAGAAACTCAACTATATTTAAACAGAACAGTAGCGCACATATAATGCCGCCAAAGATCAGAGCCTCGGCCCCTATGATATAGCTGATCAGTGCTGTCAAATTACGCACATATCTGGAATTGAGGTCAGAGAGAAACTGTTACTTTTTAATGTTAATGCTTATGTTAGATTATTAATGCTTATGTTAGATTATTTACGAGGTACTGTAAGCATAGTTGAGTTTGAAATGAGCTGGAATATAAGTTCAAATAAGCAGAACATAATAACATAATAAAACGATATGGAAACTGCGACTCATTGAGATTATGAGGAAAGCTAAATATATAGATACTTATATTTATATGTATATCATTAAACTTATTTATAGCAGCTTGGCTATAGGTTAGTCATAGTCATATACGCATGTGACTTCAATATTAAATTAAATATGCTTATAAATAAATCCATTCCATAATCTAACTGAGAAATCGGTTTCAGGATAAATATTTTATGCACTTATTTCATTTATACTTGTATATTTTTAAAGCACACTATATAGAAATATATTATGTGAAACTACATGATAATCCTACAATATGGTTGGTATTTGTAAGTCTCTGTAACATTAAAAAAAAATTGATGAAAAGGTATTCTCCCACTTTTAATGGGTGCAGTGTATAGTGAGACTCGACATCTACAGTACCTGGCAATGGTAATGTGCAATTGAATGCAAGCAATCAACATTTGATAGCGCTGCTCCTCCGTCTGCAGCTGGCCGATGCGTGACAACTTGTGGGCCAATATCTGCAGCAAGGCCCGGCCAAAGAGCGCAAAGGCCGCAAATAGACTGACAAAGGGCATGTACATCATGGAGAGCACCACGGGAGTGGGCAACTGCAGCACATAGAATATCTGGTAGACGGGTGTGCGCTGCATATCCATGCCCGGCAGGGCAACGCCAAACGGATGGGCTGTTGGCCAGGTGGGGGCGTATTCATTACTGTTAAGCTGGAAAGCCTATCAAACATTATCCGCTTACTGCGTTGCTCCAGAAACAAAGCAAAGATTAGTGCGCCCAAAATGTCCAGAAACGAGGCCGTCAAATTGAATATGGCCAGGCGACGCGACTCGGCCACGGCCATGGCCAACAGATTTCGACTGCACTCATCGCTGGATGCCTCGATCTCCCGATAGATATGCGTCAATTGCTCCAGAAACTTCTCAAACGCCAAACGCTTCCACATGACGAACAGCGTGCGCATCAGGGCATTGAGTATGGCCGAAAAGAAGAACAGATTCAGTATGAAGGCAGGCAGATCGCCCCACATGCGCAGCAAGAAGATGAACTGCATCAGATTCATCAGGCAAACGGGCAACACAAACGCGTACTTCCGCCAGCGGGTCGCCGGACTGGGATAGAGCACCGCCAGACGCCGCCAAATGCCCACGTTGATGGCCACCAAAGCAATATCCTCAGCCATTACCGCACCACTTTGCACAACTTCCGGCGTGGAGCACCACTCGACACTGTGGCCCCCGAGTGCTCGGCAAATGTCTTTTATTGGCGCACTCGCAAGGCGTTTAACCAATTGTCCTCTGGCAATTGGAGGCGTTGCCCTTAGCCTATAATTTGCCAAATTGGCTGTGCGACAATGCAATGCAATGGAAATGCAATGGAAGTGCCAAAGTAAGGGCTAAATTTCCATTTTGTGACAGTTAGCTATTCACTTCGTAATGTAATTGTAGCTAGCAAATCTTTGAATATATAATCGAATCTATATATAATTGGATTTTAATGCAGTGAATTATATAATAAGTATGCATTTATATATCTCATGTAATATGCATTGTTGTAAAGGAAGAAGGAAATGACCTTGAGATTCAAGAACGTTTAACCTGGCGGAGTATAAGCGAGTCTAATGATAATTGGATTAATAAATCCCTAAGAGTCCCTAGAAATATATAATAGACAAGATATCACAGGAAGGTGAAAAAAATTATCTAAAAAGAACAAAAATAAAAAACAAAAAAAAAATAAACAAACAGAAAAAAAAAAAAACAAAAAGTAATTTTACAAAATTAAAAATATATATATGTATAATACTTTTTTTTTAATTAAAAATGAACAGGTAATATAAATCCAAAATTTCAATCTAAAGCTGTGAGTGAAATTGGATAATATGTTATATTCTCAAAAATGCTGAAAATTAAAATTGTATTTAAGCTTCAATGTTTCCTTTAATACATACAAAAAGTCCTTGGTACAACTGATGCCAAGAAGATTAAGGATTAAATCGCAAATTGTGCTCTGCATATGCAAATCCGTATTTAATTTAAGCATCGATTTTCCACACGTACAGAGGACATCATCAGCACAAAAATGTGCCAGGCGCTGCTGTTCGGTTGCTATTCGAATATCCCTTCAAAAAGCTAACGAGGCGATAACGTGGCCAGCAGCAATCAGGCAGTGGGCCAGGCAATGGACCAGGCTGTCCGGCAGTGCGGCGATAGGCAGACATGACTTATTAAACAATAAAAGCGGATTATCCGTAAACAACTGAGCAAACATGCCAGAGCCAAATATTTGGACCCGAACCGCTCGCTTATCATGTGGACAGCGGCCAGAGACAAAAACAAACAGAGCGAGAGCGACAGAGGCAGAGCGAGAGGAAGAGAAAGAGGGAGAGAGAGAGAGAGAAAAAACAATATAAAAATCAACAAGCGACTGGCATAACATAATTCAACAACAATGCCAGCTCAGCAAATACGGCGGGAAATTAAAATAAGACCTGGGCAAAGGCGCAGGCACAGGCACAGGAGCCGGCACTGGAACAGGACCTTGGGGTAGACCAAGCCCATAAAGGCACACATTATGGCCACTTAACCGCGCGTTATGCCGCAAAAAGGCAAAGGACAAAGCCAAATGCTCAAGCCGAAAAAGTGCCTGCGTGTGTGTGTGTGGGCGTCTGTGGCGTATGCGCAATATTTTGTGCAAACATTACTAAGGGCGAGGCCAGACCAGGCCAGGCAGCAGACCGCAGTTTGCCCACTCCGCTGCCAGGCAACATGCAATGTCAGTTACAGCTGCTCATGCAAGGCGCTGCACATAAATCAAAGGACAACCAAAGGACGTAAGTATCTGGTCGAAAAATGCATTTTGAAACAGCAGCCAGAATTTATTATAAATTAAAAGCTAAGCTCAGCCAAATGGACGACATTTAATTATCACATTTTGTGCAGCAGCACAATGGAGCACACACATCAAAGGACAGCACACACACACACAAGCTTGGTCCTCGTCCTGTTAACCCTATAAGCCACAGACTGACATTAATTACGTATACTCTCAGCTGCTTGGCTGCGGCTCCGGGCTCCGATTTGCAGCTGAACTTGTATAAAATTAATATCAAGCAATTAACAGCAAATTCCGTTGTGATTTAAAGGATTCGTCTGTCCCTTATGGAGGCACTGCTTAAGTGTGGCAACTCAGCAGCCGCCTCCTCTTTCGATGGACGCCCGCAATTGTGTGGGCGTGTCAATATTGACTTTAACACAATTCTAGTGGGCGATAGCTAAGCAGCTTTTTGCCAATTAAGCAGCTCACAGTAGCTTATTTTTGCTTGATGAGAGTGAAAAAGAGAGAGAGAGAGAGGGTGAGAAAGAATCAGAGAAACAGTATACAGCTAGGCAGAGAGAGAGAGAGAGAGAGAGAGAGAGAGAGAAAGGTAAAGTGCAGGAGGTAGATGGAAAGAGAGCGAGAGATAATGAGAGAATTGCCTAGAAAGCTGAAATTGTTTTGCTAAGCTTCTAATTTGGCATTGGTCTATTGTTGGGCGTAAATTGCAAAACTAGAGATGGGCAAATGGCGTGAACTATCGTGCGTAAAATTCGATAGGCTAAAATGAATCAATTTTCTACTGCACTTAATTAGTTTTTTATATATTTAAATTATTGTATATATACGAATAGATTTTTGATAAATTTATTTGTTTTGTGAACTTGTTTATTTACTTTGTAATTTTATTTTTATAAAAAAAATAAGACAATCAATATTGTAAGGGTTATTGCTGCAAATTTTTTTATTTTTATTATTATATGTATTTATTACTGCTTTTCACCTTTTACTTTTCAAATTATATGTATATATTCTCCCCTTCATACCACATCTCTAGTCCACCTCTAGCTCTCAGTTGGCCTTTGCATCAGCTGTTCCAAGACACTCTCTGTTCTGGCCCCCCTTTTTAACAAGAACGAGTCAAGCAGCCTGGCTAATACGGCTTAGTTTTGTTAACGATTTGCAAACACGTGTGACTTGCTGCCACAGTCCCAATGCCGATTGCCGACTGCCGAACCGAACCGCCTTCAATTCCAATTCTAATGGCGATTGCGAGCAATCCCCCCCTTCGCAGATAAACAACAACAATGAAACATTCGCTTTGATGATATCTAGACATGCTAGATTTGGAGCTATGTCATCATATCCCGCTCTGACTTATGGATGTGGGCAGCCCGTGAATAAGTCAACATAAGATAATGCGATGTGATTGTTTACACAAAATAAAACCATGCAGTAAAATGTATATACACACATTTCTCTAAGAGCAAAAAACAAAGTTGCAATTCGCTCCCAAATTGGCCTTGAGATAATGACTGCATACTGCTGAAACTTGAGCTCTATATAAATTAATATATTTTACACAATATAGTAATGGAAAAAATTATAAAAAGTAATAAATTTAACAGGAGCAAACGATTTGATTTTAATATATAAACATAATTTTCAATATATATATTTTTATGTATTTTCATAGTCCTAGGTATATATGTAGTCCTAGGTATATATGTATATGTGTAGAAAAATAACAATGCTGATAAGAATGTCTAAAATATGTTTTAAAATATTTTTGTTCTAAAT